ATCAGACTCACATGTTCTATGACGCCTAGTAACTGTACTTTCAAAGTACTGAAGTTGCCTGGTAGTATATCTGTGATGGTATAAACGTTTCTTTCAATAAACAATTTTCAATAAATACGTTCCTCAGAGTTATAAAGTTACTTATATAAGTTCATAATTTTCACAAATCTAGGTTTGGAATAAGTTTTACAACAAAAATAGCTCAATTGCTTTCATAGAAATGATTTGAATATGAAGTGCTGACGTGATTTATCCAAGGATTTCTTTTACACTCTACTACTAACAGAAATGTAATCGTAACTGACAATTTCGATCAAATATTTTGAATAACAATATCTGATCTATGTTGTGACCTCGAGTGGTAACGCAAAGCAAAGTCAGGGACAGTTGTGACGTGTGCAGCAAGTGACGTTGCTTCAGACTCGATGACGTCATCGTGTCCGTATAGGCAGACCAGCTGACATCGGTTTTTACAAGACTGTGCCTAGCCAGTCTAGGAATTATTAGACATTAGACATAATCCTAACATATATTTCATAAAAGAACGAGTTTTTTCGCGTGTACGAAATTTTGACCGCGAATGTTGAACCCCATTTCACCTCACTTCACCTCGAGTGTACTTTGGCGTATGTCTTGACTGGTTGAACTTATGCTAGCAGGAGTACTTGAAAATCTTATATCATTTTGTTTTTTGGAATATTCAGATGCTGGGAGTTTTGTCATATTACCAGGATGAGACTAACAATTTGTTTACGCACAACTCGTTTTTTTTCAAAACCTGAGGCAATATTTCTTTCCAGTACGAGGTGGAACAAAATATGTAACAGGATCACAAAGAAACAATGCAAATATTTAATATTTAGGGGGCTTGTAAAACAGAACCACATACATAGAGACCCGTGAAGATCAGGGTTAGAATTGTTTTTCAGCAACCCATGATTGTTGTCGCAAGAGGAGGCTAATGGGATCGGGCGGTCAGGCCTCGCTGACTAGGTTGATACTTGTCATCGTATCCCAATTGCATATATCGGTTCTCATGATGTCAATCATTGGACTGTCTGGTCCAGAATCGACAGACCGCCGTCATGTAGCTGGGGGTATTTCTGAGTGCGGACTTAAAGACCAAACAAACAAGGAAATATATATAGACGTTTGAGTGTGGTAATAAGCTGGTTTGGTTTGTTGTTTTACGCCGCACTGAGCAATATTCCAGCTATGTGACGGCGGTCTGTAAATAATCTAGTCTGGACCAGACAATCCAGTGATTTACATCTTGAACATCGATCCACGCAATCTGGATCGATGACATGCATCAAACCAAGTCAGCGAGCCTGACCACCCGATCCCGTTAGTCGCCTTTTACGACAAGCATAGTCGCCTTTTACGGCAAGCATGGTTTGCTGAAGCCCTATTCTACCCCGGATCTTCACGGGTCCGTTATTGTAGGGATTGAGGTGGGACGTGATATGTCGTCCAATGAATAAATATTCGTGAATAATTACGTTATTCATAAGTATTGTTGCCTTGCCTTTGCATGTGTTTGTGACGGGTGCTACTGAATGATTCGCTAACATTTTAGCCTTCATCTGATTAAAGTCACTATTCCAGAGACAAATGGACTTTTTGCTGAGATTTCATATGATTATGGAAAGGGTTAACACAGAGATTGAATTAATAGACAATTTCGGAAAATGTACGAACGCAAATATTAAATACAACACACTATTCAGCATTAAACATTCAGTGGTGACGTGATAGAGGAACAATGACAATCCTATAGACTGTTGATCCAAATGTTGTACAAGAGAAAGACGTTTCAAATGACTTTGTTTTATAATCCACGATTTGAAGGAAATAGTTCACCTTGACCTACCTAAACTACACAGAACACAAATGTTTCTTTTGTGTATATCAATAAGTGGCATGCTAACTCATACTGTTTTCGAGGTGTTCTCAAACAATAACTTAATCATGAAACTTAAAACTCTTTAATCAATTGAAGGATATAGGATTTTATAGAAGTTCAAGTCTTCGTGGGTTTTTTTCATGTCAGTGACGTCGACGTCAACACCATTTGATAAGAGTAGCTAAGTTATGTTGATACCCGTCGATGAGGTAACACCGCAGTTTTGCTACTTCAGTTGTGCGCTATCAACCAAGTGCCCAAGCTTCTCCGCCGCCATCGTATATACTCAACAACAAAATGAAACTGTACATCATGGAAAATCGACTCTAATCTATTGCATTGGAAACGTATATGAAATATACAAATTGTAGAAACACCATATTTTTAAACTTATCCTATCTCACACTATGCTTCTCTCTTTCTTCTTTCGATTCTGAGTGGAAACGTATCTGAAATAAAAGTTTCCAGCTTCTAAAGTTAATTAACCCTGTCATACCTCACATCGTCACGGTCACCTCCCAGATCTGGGTCATGCGCGCTATGCATGCTGGTTGACCTTCTTGCACTGATCACGTGTCTATCCCAGTCAACTCATTCTCTTTCAAATCGCCACGCAGTGGTGACGTATTGTTATTACAGGAATCCATTTTGGGTTTTTCTTTTCGCTTGCAAGCGATCTTCATATTTTTGTCGTCTAATTGCCTGCAATTTTACTCATATCCCTGTTTGGGATAGTTATTCATCATAATGGACGAGCAGTCCACACCGAGACCTGTCTGCACTTTGTGCCGACGTGTTTTCTCTCCGTCTGACCCTCATGCCCAATGTTCGGATTGTCGTGGATTATGCAGTTTTTTAGAGCGTTGCGAGCTCTGCTCCGATCTACCAGATGAATCCTTCAAACTCTTTCATAAATGTCGGCGTCGGGTGTCAGATCGTCTCTCTAAGACTGCAGAAAAATCCACGAAAGCCAAGAAAACACCGGTCAAGAAAGCGAGATCGGCCCGATCACCCTCACAGGCGGGCCAGAATACTAGGGATCAAACTGGTCCCATGATCTCGTTAGACGATGAGGGGGTCTCTGACTCTTTTCTCACAGACGACATGTCTAAGGTATCCACGAATCCACCTTCAAAGTCGAACCTACCCTCCACATCCCGAGACTCGGACATTCGACGAGTCCTCTCGTTAGACACGAGTGTGGATGACCGGCTTACGTCAGCCAACGTATCCAACCCGACCGAGGTTCGTACTTTCGACTCGTCGTGTTCTACGACTAACATGGAGCTCGCTCCTGTTTTACCTTCGGAGGGTACACATGGTACTGGTACCTCGGTCGACCCTATAAGTTTGGTCCGTCGTTCGAAATCTCCCATACGACGATCTTCGCAGGATCGATCCTCTCAAGACCAGGAGTCGTATGACGACTCATCGGATCAAGGTTCACGAACCTCCCATTCCCGAGAGGATTCACAAGACGATAGACATTCGTCCCGGGATCGACAAGCATCGACAGTCAGTGCACTTTATTCAGTGCAATCATCGGGGGATCGGCATTCAGACTGGGACCAACGGACTTCTCACCCTCGACACCGAGATGATTCACCGAACATCCAACCATCTAAGGTTCCTCGTACTTCCGAACCTCGAACCTCCGAACACCGAACCTCCGAACTTGGACCCCCGAACCTCCGAACCTCCGAACCTTGAACCTACGAACATTGGGCCTCCGAACCTCGATCCTCCGAACTTCGAACCTCCAAACCTCGAACCTCGAACCTCCGAACCTCGAACCTCCGAACCTCGAACCTCCGAACCTCATCGAACCTCCGAACATAACCGACCCTCCGAACCTCGTCAAACATCCGAATCTCGTCGAACATTCGAACATCGTCGAACCTCCGAACGTCGCTGTACTCCCGAGGTGCGACAGTCACGTTCGAATCGTACATCTTCGGACAAACTAAAGAGATTCGAGCTTCGTCGAACCTCTGAGGTTCAACGAACATCATCGAACCGAACTTCGAAGGACATACGGACTCCTAAGTATCGACACACTTCAAAGGAGGTTCAACGGGACACGAGAGTTCATAAAACCTCAAAGGAACAGAGACATTCGAGAGACTCGAATATGCGACGTTCACCTACAGATCGTTATTCGTCTTATGACAGGCGAGCGGATTATCACTCATCCCCTTATCATGTCTCAAGAAGGGACTATTCAGACCCATCACGTCTAGGCTCGGAGGATGAACGCTACAACGAGTCTATTAGCCATTCATCCTACATGTCTCGATCTTCTCCTTCACTCACCAATCCGGAGTTTCGACTAAGAGATTACCCTCACACTTTTGATTTTCATCAACGTGGTAATTACCCATGGAACACTACTTCATATAGTGCCTACGCACATGAGTTGGAACGACACCCACACTACAGTGATCCCCACCCTCCATGGCATGGGTATCCTCATGAGTACAGACCTTATCGGTCAAGCTACATTTCCTCTTCTCGTCATGAGGATTCTCCTCGGCGACATAGAGATAGACCACTCAGATCAGCTACCGTTAGTAGATGTCCTTCACCTAAAGATAGGCAGAGTTCTACTTCACCTACTCGTCGTACCGGCTCCCCATCGCCACCTCCGGTTCGACGCCCTCCTGTTTCCTCTGAATCACAGACTTCTGCAACATCACAAGCTCCATCTCAAGCTATCCCTACATCATGGATCCCTAGCGAACTTTCTGCTATTCCAGCAGAACAGATTCGTTCTCTGTTATAGGCTGTAACAGCAGTATGTCTTCCCCAACAGGCACCTGCTGTACCAACTACGGTACCTCTATCTGCATCGACACCCACTACAGCCCTTTCAGTGGATCAACCACCAGAATCAGAGTCATCAGACCACTATACCTCCCCAGCTTCGTCTTCTGGGAGCTTCGACATAGCGGATCCGATCACTGTACTTATCTGGATAGCAGATAAGTTACAATTGTTAAAAAGCACTTCAACGGAGGACACTTTATCATCATTTGTTGTGCCTTCAGCCTCGTCGCCGAACATCACACTCCCTCCGAGACCAGTCCTACAGGATATGGCCACCAATTTAGACAACGCATTTGGATCCTTTCGCCGTCTTCGTGATCGGCTTCAATCTCCACGCTTTGTATTGGCGGATGCAGGGACTCATGGCTTGTCTACGATTTCTCCCGAACTAGATGGTGACATCGCAACATTAGCTCCTAAGCGTCCGTACTCAGCTTCTTCAGTGGATGACAGGGACCTCGTTCACCTCGACACCACTGTTCGAAGGACCCTCACGTTGGTCTCCACTATTTTATCAGCAACTGAAGCACTTTCGTCGGCTCTAGCTCATGCATCTTCCTCAGAAGAATCCTGTATTCGAGGTGCTGTGACCCTCATCCAGGATAAAACGACAGCTATACTAGACCTCCTTGCTCACCATGCGGGATCTTTCACTTCTCTTCGTAGACGGGGGGTGTTACAACATTGCTCATGGGATGATCAATTTAAGAACAGGCTGTACCAAATGCCATGGTCAACACCCTCCCTTTTTGCTGGGCGCATACAGGAGGTCGCCCATGAAGTCCAAAGAGACACTTCCCTGCAAGTCACTGTTGACTTACTTCGTCTCCAGAAAAATCAACTGGAAGAACAAAGGAAAGACCGAAGACGACCAACCTTTACTCCTTCTCAACAAGACCTTAGAGAAGTTTTGAGTAATAGGTCTGCTTCTTTTCGTGGCCGTGGCCGAGCACGCCAACATCAGCGAGGAGGGAAATCAGGCGGACGCACTGTCTCCTTTTCAGGGACTAAAGGAAACACTAACTCTCCTAAGCCAGGAGACACTAACCACAAATGACTCACTACAACAGCAGGACGACTGGGACCTTCCGACTCCAGCCATTCCGATTTTCTCGTCTCCCGTAGGCGGAAGACTAGGCACGTTCGCTTTAAACTGGACCATCCTAGACGACCCATATGTGTCTCGTCTCCTACAAACAGGTTATCCTCTACCTCTTGCCACCACACCTCCGACAACGTGCAAACCGCCTCAACATCTGTATCCAGCCAAACAACTTCCAGTTCTCATAGACACCATAAACACGTTACTTGTAAAGAACGCAATAGAGTGTCTGGGCACTCAGCCAATGACACCAGGGTTCTATTCTCCAATTTTTCTGGTTCCCAAGAAAAACAGTCCTCAACTGCGTCTCATCTTCAACATGAAAACCTTCAACAAACTATACCTAGAGACTCCTCCACACTTTCGCATGACATCAATCGCTCTACTACGAACGATTATTCATCCCGGCGACTTCATGATCAGCCTAGATATACAAGACGCGTACTTACACGTCCCTATCCTGCCAGAGCACCGCCATTTTCTTCGGTTTGTGTTCCTAGGCCAACACTACCAATGGCGAGTGCTCCCATTTGGAATTTCTTCGGCCCCGTGGCTATTTACTCGCCTCACAAAACCCATCGTCAAGTTCCTACACACTCGAGGCATCGTCTTCGAAACGTACATCGACGACTGCATTCAAGCCAACAAGGATTCGAAAACTCTACTTCATCACCTCGATTTCTCTCAACGCCTACTTCATCAACTAGGTTGGATCATCAACCCAAAAAAGTCCGAAACTATTCCAACACAACGTCTCCAGTTCATCGGAGCCCTCTTCGACACGAGTCTGGGCAAGATGTTTGTACCCCAAGATCGTTGGGAGAAAATCCAACGCCTCGTTCCATTGGCACTCAAACAGCCAATTTCCTTACGTCAATGGCAACAACTTCTCGGTCTCCTAATATCAGCACAAGCCCTCACCAAGAGAGGTCAACTTCACTTACGGCCAATCCAGTGCTTCCTCAAGCCCTTCCTTCAGGACGACGATTGTCAGGTTCTAATATCTCTTCCAAACCATCTACACCCACACCTCAAATGGTGGTTAACTCCATCAAGTGTCTGCGAAGGAGTCTCCTTGCAACCATTCAGCCCGACCCTCCACCTGTTCGTCGACGCCTCAACCGTCGGATGGGGAGCTCATTGCCAAGACCTACAAGTGGCAGGGCGGTGGTCATTAGAAGAAAGCCAGCTTCACATCAACAATCTAGAATTCAAAGCAGTGATTCTGGCAGTGTCTCATTGGTCAACACTCCTTCAGTCCTCCACACTAATGATTCAGTCAGACAACCTATCTGTCGTGTGGTACATAAACAAGATGGGATCCACCAAGTCAACGTCACTTCTATCTCTAGCACTCGACTTCTTCAAACTGATCGACTCACTCAACATTCAAGTTCGAGCGAGACATATTCCCGGCATCGCCAACGTCATAGCCGACTCCCTGCCCCGACCCGACAAACCATCTCCCACGGAATGGCGTCTACATCCTGTGATTTTTCAGTGGATTTGCCAGTTATTTCCGTGCCCAGACGTCGACCTCTTCGCAACCCGCTTCAATACTCAGCTATCCCGGTTCGTATCTCCTATCCCAGACCCCCTAGCCTGGGACCATGATGCGTTAGCAATCCCATGGGAAGGACTACATGCTTACGCCTTTCCCCCAACCGGCATTCTACATCGGGTTCTACAGAAGATATCAACGACCAATCGCCTCACTCTACTTTTGGTCGCGCCCTACTGGCCAACACGCAGTTGGTTCATAACGCTCATTCGTCTCGCAGACAGAAAGTTTTACCATCTACCTCTAAGGGACGATCTTCTGCATCAACCACACTCTCAGCTCTGTCATCCGTCGCCAACAACCCTCAATCTATGCGTTTGGCGCATTTACAGAAATCATTGATAGCTAAGGGTTATTCTGAACGAGTGGCCAAGACCATTGCGGGGGCGCACAGGTCACCTACTAAAGCACTATATGACCATAAATGGAAGGCATTTGAATCGTTTTGTCATTCACATGACATTTCCACACCTGCCACGGCATCCCCGCAACAAATTGCTGAATACCTTCACTATCTTCGATCATCTCGTAAACTAAAAGGTTCGACTCTAGCTACCTATTTAGCTGCGATCAATTCTGTCATCGCAACTACAACGGGCACTAAGATTTCAACAATCGCCGAATTACAATCATTGATCAGATCGTACAAGTTGGCGGACCAAACATCACGTTTTCGACCACCAACTTGGAATCTAAACATCATACTTCGCCATCTAACGTCGGCCGAGTACTAACCTCTCGCCGAGAAAGATTTCGAACACATTTCTTTGAAGACAGTTTTCCTTCTGGCCCTTGCAACGGCGGCTCGAGTGAGTGAAATTCACGCTTTAGACGTCAACAGAGTACGTTTCGAACGAACTGCACATGGGAAAGTATTTTTGGGACTACGATGGGATTTCATCGCCAAAAATCAACTCCCTGGTCAACCCGATCGACTATTCAGTATCCCACCATTGACTGCCCTCTTAAACCCTGACGAAGACATATCGTTGTGTCCGGTACGCGCACTTAAAATCTATCTGGAAGCGGCGAAACCACTTCGTCGATTACGTAAGAGGTTATTCATCCCTCTCTCTGCGGCACATACTACGGAGGTATCCCGTACCACAATCTCGTTTTGGATACGCTCAGTGATCCTTCGAGCCTACACCTTCGCTGGCCTACCTGCTCCAGTCGCATCTAATCCTCACGAAACCCGTGCTGTCGCTTCCACCATGGCACTTCACAGTAATTGCTCCTTGACCGCAATTATGGAGGGATGTTTTTGGAAATCCGATACCGTGTTCGCATCCCATTACCTCCGAGACATCTCAGTGACGGACGTTCAAGGCCTTCACCAGTTTGGACCCTTGGTACTCGCACAACAGATCTCCAAGACACACCTGCGCAGATAGGGAGATGTATAACCAGATTTTCATTACATTACATCCATCTCTATTTATAATAAACATTTGTCATGATTATTGGTGTTTATTGTATTCATTCGGGCTTCCCAGACTGAGTATCCGGTTGGAGGGTATAATCACTCGTCTGTAGAGACCTTGGTCTTCAACTTGAAGTCGTCATTAGACGCGGCCGATTTCGGTGTCCCGATCCCTTATTTCAAACACCTCTACTTTAGGTATGTGTGTTGAGTAACGGATCGATGATCCTTTTGTGGATATTGTTGATCGTTTCCTCTTCTCGTTTTTTACCCATCCATTCAATCACTGACATGATTGAGGGTTTGACGAAGCGATAAAAGAGATGCCGAGCGGGTCCAACCTATCGTCCTCTGGAGATAGGAATACCCCGTCTTGTAGATTCGACGACTGGATGTATACTCTCTCGAATATAAGTCGTACTCGTTCGTTTTAGACATGCGATTACGCTTGATTACGTTTGAACATGTTACACATGTTGTACCCGACTTATTGTGTTTCAGTTGTTCACGTATCAGGATCTCAACATTCTTTGAGAGTGTTCTTCTTATCCTGTCTACGAGTTGTTGTTTTTGTGTGTTGTTTTTTGTTTTTTTGTTTTTTGTCTTACGACACTTAACTGTGTTACTGTATTAAGTATTGTACCACTGTTAAGTTCCAGCTTCCTCGTAAATATCCTACGGTTGTGATCTATAGACAAGGAAGTTGCGCCCCACCATCCAACCGTGGGATAAAATGCATAGTGTGAGATAGGATAAGTTTAAAAATTTGAAAATTTTATTATAAATGTATATTTATATACTTATCCTATCTCACACGTTATATGCCCACCCGTCCATCCCCACATCGCAATTCCTTAGTCTATATGCTTTTGAAAGAGAATGAGTTGACTGGGATAGACACGTGATCAGTGCAAGAAGGTCAACCAGCATGCATAGCGCGCATGACCCAGATCTGGGAGGTGACCGTGACGATGTGAGGTATGACAGGGTTAATTAACTTTAGAAGCTGGAAACTTTTATTTCAGATACGTTTCCACTCAGAATCGAAAGAAGAAAGAGAGATGCATACTGTGAGATAGGATAAGTATATAAATATACAATTTATAATAAAATTTTCAAGTTTCACCAAAATGGTAAGTGTTCAGTTCGTCTGTGACACTAACAGTCCAGACGACGTACCATCGTGCACGTGCATTGTCCTCGTGTTTTCAATGATAGTTTCAGCCCATGAAACACCAGATAAAACACACCAATGAAAAAGCCAACGTTGTATACTTTTGTTGCTGTTGTTGAGTATCTGAGTGCGGTGCTACGCAACACACAAACACACCGAGCTCCTGGCCTCCCGATCCATTCAATAACCTCATACAACAGGCATGGGTTGTTGGGGACCAAGGGATTGCCTAAAAGTCGGGCCAAGAAAAGTCGGGCCGGCCCGGGCCAGCGGGTAATAGTAAAAATGTATTGCAGAATAATAAAACGAAACGCGCATATCTAGGCAGATCTCAAATGTCCACAAACGAAAAGTTTTGCTCATTTAATTGAGTTTGAATAAAAATGCACCTTTAACAATGTAATAAACTGATGATTACGACTACATACCGTGAGTCTCGTAGAAAGTCAGTGTCTTGACTGTGTGTATTCTTTGATTAGACTTACTTACTTACTTACTTTGGAGATTTAACGTGCGCTTTCCGACTGATGCGTATTTCGCACACGGGCCCGGCCAGGCCATTTAATGTGTTTCCGAAAGGGGCGAAAGTGGTCTGTGCAACCCAAGAGGGGGGTTTAGGGGTTGCTTATATAGAATTTGGGAATTTTGAGATTTGGAATAGATGCCGATGGGGTTGGGGAGGAGGACTAAGGGAGCTGGGTATGGTGGATGTTTGTTAGTTTATGTGATTTTGATTTGGTAGGTTATTGTGTTTTTAGATGCGTTTTATTAGTTCCGTTTTTTATTAAGAATACGCCTAAGGCCTTGAAGTTTTCTAGTTTATTTTTTGGGTTTAGTATTGCTTCTAGAGTGAGAGCCTTGTTTAGATTGAGGGTGGTTTGTAATGCGGTTCGATGTGTTAGGCAGTGTGTGCAGTGGATGAGTGCGTGTTCTGGGGTTTCTAGTTGTTTGCAGACTCGGCAGTTACCTGTAGTGTGTTTTAATAATTTTTTTAGGTGGTTATTTAGGTTGGTGTGTCCTGTTTGGAGTTTAGTGATTACTCTGTCGATTTTTTTTGATGGATGGAGAATTTTTGGTTTGGTTAGTGGTTTGCTGAGCACTTTTTTGATTTGGCTATTTGAGTTTAGATATAGGTTATGCCATTTTTTTGTGATTTTTTGCTTGTTTACACTTTTAATTTCTGATTTTGAGATGGGTAAGTTTAAGCTTATTTCTGGGATTTTGAGGGATAGTTTAGCTGCTTTATCGGCGTTTTCATTACCGTATATTCCTACGTGGGCGGGTATCCACAAGTAGGTTATTTGTTTGCCTGCCTTAATTAGGTCGTTGGAGCTTTTAAGTATTTGATTTATTAATTTAGGTCGGTTTTTGGTATTTTTGTTTTGGAGGGCTTGCAGTCCACTTAGGGAGTCGGTGAGTATTATGATTTTTTGTGGTTTTTGTATTCTTGATTATGGAAGGCTGAGGCCATGCCCATTAGTTCTGCCGTGAATATTGATTGGTTGTTTGGGAGTCGGAAGAATTGTGTGGTTTTAGTTGGTTGTGTGGTATGGACTCCGAAACCTGTGTGTTTGGAGGTCGGATCTGAGGATCCGTCCGTGTAGATGTGACACCAATTTGGCCAATTTTCGTGTATGTATACTAGTGTGGTAGTTTTAGCTATGTTTGGGTAGGTTTGTTTATTTATTTGGCTAGCTAGTGTTGTGTCTATTTTGGGTATTTTAAGTTTAGGGGTGAAGATATTTGATTGTTTGCAGTTTTGTTTAAGATTTTTAATTTGGTGTTCATTTAGGTAGTTTGTTATTCTTTGGGATATTGGGGTAAGTAAGGGGTGTTTACGAGCTAGAGCTTGGTTTTTGGGGCTGATGTTTTGGTTTATTAAGTTTCTGATGAGAGGGTTTGATTGGGACGCGGCCCAGAAATTTAAGCTTAGCTGTTCCCTGCGTAGACTTAGTGGCATTTCTCCTGTTAAGGCCTGAAGTGAGGTGTTGTAGGTGCCATGTTGGGTGCGTGTAATTAGTTTGAGAGCCTGATATTGTATTGAGTCAAGTTTTTTAGATAGAGAGTTGTTTAGGGTGTTGTATATGGCGCAGCCGTAGTCTAGTTTTGATCTAATTAGTGATATGTAGAGGGAGAGGAGGGTATCTTTGGAGGCTCCCCAGTTAGAGCCAGTTAGGCATTTTAGGGTGTTTAGGTCTTTACTGCATTTAGTTGTTAGGTTTTGGATGTGAGCATCCCAGGTGAGATGTTAATCGAAAATAAGTCCTAAGAATTTGGTTTGTTTTTGAAATTTGATTGTTTGATTGTTTAGCTGGAGGATTGGGGAGGCGGGTTTCATGTTTTTATGTTTGAATACTATTCCTGTTGTTTTTTCTGAGTTAAGGGAGAAGCCCCATTTGTCAGCCCATTGTTGTATTTTATTAAGAGATTTTTGGAGTAAATTTTGGACCATTTTCATGCTTTTGGTGCGGATCCAGATGGCTCAATCATCCGCGAATTTTGATGTGGTTACTTTAGGGGATAGGCTCTCGAATAGATCGTTTATCATTATATTGAAGAGGGTGGGGCTGAGGATACTGCCCTGTGGAGTGCCATTTTCTAGGGGACATTGGTCCGATAGAGTTTGGTCTATACCCACGGTTATTTTACGATTGTTTAGGAAGTCCTGGATGTAGGTTATTATCTGACCTTTGAGTCCTATTTTTTAAAGTTTTTGTATTAGCCCATCGTGCCATACCATGTCGAAAGCTTTAGAGAAGTCTAAGAAGATGCCTGTGGTATATTGTTTATTTAGTTGTCCTGTCTTAATATCTTGTTCTACTCGGGCGAGTTTATCTAGGGTTGAGCGGCCAGGAGTGAAACCGCTTTGATCTGGGTTTATGATGTTATTTTGGGTTAAGTAATGTTGTAATCTATTTTTAGCCATTGATTCCATTACTTTACATAAGTTTGAAGTTAGGGATATTGGTCTATATGAATTAGTTTCATTAGTTGTTTTATTAGGTTTAGGGATTGGTATGTTGAGAATGTAGAGGGAAAAGGGCTTCACTTTGAGCCCCATGTTTTCTTTAAGTACAGCGATCTGAGACCCTACAAAGTGGTATTTAAGTAGATATAACAATAGTCTATAGATGTAAACACATTTGCAGATACATCTGTGAGGTTTAAGTTGATTTTGACCGCCCGGGCCAAGTCGGACCGAATACTTCAGACAGAGATTTTCTTAATAAAATACAGTAAAAGAGCTTGACTTTAACGGCCCAGTTTTCTTTAAATGCGATATACTGTGACATTATAAAGTGGTATATGGGTAGATATAACACTAATCTATAGATGTAAACACATTTGAAGATACATCTGTGTGTTTAAAGTAGATTTTGACAGCCCGGGCCAAGTCGGACCCAAGACAAGCCAAACACTTCTGATAGAGACTATGTTGAGAATGTAGAGGGAAAAGGGCTTCACTTTGAGCCCCTTGTTTTTTTTATAAATACTGCGATCTGTGATATTATAAAGTGGTGTATAGGTAGATATAACACTAATCTATAGATGTAAACACATTTGAAGATACATCTGTGTGTTTAAAGTAGATTTTGACAGCCCGGGCCAAGTCGGACCCAACACAAGCCAAACACTTCTGATAGAGACTATGTTGAGAATGTAGAGGGAGAAGGGCTTGACTTTGAGCCCCTTGTTTTCTTTAAATACAGCGATCTGAGACACTATAAAGTGGTATTTTGGTAGATATTATACTAGTGTATAGATGTGAATCCATTTGAAGATACATATGTGAGTTTAAAGTTGATTTTGACAGCCCGGGCCAAGTCGGACCGAACACTTGTGTGACTGTTGAGAGTATAGGGAGAAGAGGTCTACTTTAACCAACGTGTCTGCTTTAAATACGATGAACAGTGACATTATAAAGTGGTATTTACTTAGATATAGTACGTTCCTATAAATAGAAACGCTATGCCGACAGATTGCAATTTGTACCACGATAGCTAGAAGTATTTGATACGTTTCAAATCTTATTTCGTTTAACGATTGCTCTTTTACATGTTACCTAGATCAGCGAAGCTGACACACAGCTCCACTTTCTGGTTTTCAAGTGATTTACTCCGAATTACTTAATTATGGTGCACTTTATTGTTTGGTGATTGTTCATTAATGTCATGTGTGTATGTTGCATCAGTTATATGTAGGTATGATTGCCGATAATGAAGTAATAAGCCAATAACACTTTGGGCCGTCTTGGCCCGGCCCGGCCCGGCCCGACTTTTAGGCAATGCCGACCAATCCTAACTTGAAAATCTCAACGGCAATTGGGCCGTGATCACAGGCTGCATTATATGGAATATGT